CATTACGTGTTACCAGAGTCACGTGACTTCCGCTGTCGTAACAATACGATAATTACCCATAATTTGAAATTTAAGCCTTTTTGTCTAATATAAAGGAGTATAATAATTAAATATATGACACTATCTATGGAAAAAGTGCCTGATTAACCAAGCATAACTCATGCACCCAGAAAAAAAAGGCCCGTAACCCTACCTTACATCTATCAAAATTACGACGAATAAAAGAATGAAACAAATATTAGCTGGGGAAAAAAAGCAATCACAGTCGCAAATGGGGCTTAATTAATTTTTACACGAAAATGGATAAAAAATTATAAAATGATCAAATCATTTAAAATGTTTGTGTTTTGTTAAGCGCAAAACTACGCAATAGGTTATACTTACCTTGTGACTCAGAGATACCGAAACTTGGTTTTTTAGCTTTGTAAGTTTTCAGACTGGTCTATTAGGATAAGTAACACTGTGCCACTGACTGCAATGGTCATATGTGGGATAAATAGCCTGGTGACACCAGTTTAAACGCCACATATATAGCAGACATCACAGTGTTACTGACCTACGTGGTCATATGTTGGATAGGTAACTCTATACCATCAATTTTATTGACCAGATATATAGGGTAGACAACAAAGTGTCATGAACATATGATTACACATGAGATATGTAATGAGATCCCACTCACCCACATGGTTATATATGGGATAGGTAAGGTGTTACACTTATGTTTATAGTGATATATAGCATAGGTACCAATTCCACTAGGCTAAATGGTCATACAAAGAGGATAAGATTCATAGTTTTATCACCTTAAATAGCCATATGTGGGGTAGGTAACCATATACCACTAATGTAAATGGTCATATAAATGATAGTCAAATATATATTTATATATTGGATAGCTACCCCATGCCACCAGGCCAAATGACTATTTATATACAACTGATAGACGATATAGAACTATTCATCAGTATGTCCCCCACCCCATTAAACCTACAACCTATTCCATCATGACTCAACCATCTACACACACACATTCGTAATTTTATTTAATTAATCAAAAAATAAAATAGGTAATTGTTATAGTTATTTGACTAATATGAATAGAAATGGTGACCAGGTTTTACAACAACTCAAAATAGATAACAGGAGTACGCCACTGCATATAACTGAAGAGGTACACTTGTGGTATTCTCAAGTACTTAATATGCCCACTTAATACCACAAGGGTTGAACAGGAAATTTATGGAGTAGCTGTTTTGAAAACTTGAATGAGTTTTAAGCCTATGTAATAAAATGAGGAGACTGGACACGTGTGATGGAAAAACGAACATAATCTTTATGCACAAACACAAAAGTGTGCATAATTGCATATACACCTACACGATCACTTCTGCCAAGTTGGTTTATAGCTCACAACTTTCTTTCTTTCCAGATTAACTTCTGTAAAACTATACTCAAACAGGAGTCAATTAGAACTGAGCAAGAATAGATGCTTAGATCATGCAAAAAAGCTAGTACACTCTCTTTTACGATGATGCTATCACGTGACTGGTTATTCTTTCACAGCATTTGTTGGCTGTGACATACAGATATTAGCCACTAGGCCAGCAAAGGGTATTGCAGTTATTGATCCTTTTAACAGGGATGTACCGTAACATTACCTTTGGCAGAATAGATATTATCTAGTATAGAGAACAAAGACAAAAAGATATACAGAATGAAGCAACTTTCACGGTTTTATGGACTACGTGTTTATACCAAAACAGCATAGAAACTAATCAGATGAAATACCTTTAAAATTTCTATGTTAGTAAAAACAGGTAGAAAACATATTATATGCCTGCATATCACATATTAACCTTCTCTTCTTCCATCGATTTTACCATTCAGAATCTCTGATAACCTTTCCCCAGCTGTACTTATACCCCATAAGTAGTGCATCTTTTTTTTATATATATATATGCCCAGCAGTTATTTTTTTCATCTTTGCAAGTTTCGATACTTCCTTATGAGCTTCTCTTTCTATGTATCTGATTTTCAACATCCATCTGTAATACCACATTTCAAGTTTTGTTTTTACAATAGTATTTTTGAAATAATATAATGCGTACTGATGCACATAAATATGCACCAAATCTTTCATCGTGAATAAAATATATTATCAAATGCAATCGTCCTAGTGTGGCGCTAGTGTCGTTAGTTACTTCTTGTTATCGTTGGATCAATAATATTATAAGTTAGTAAAGGATTTACCTTCTCGAGGGCTTATAGCAGTTGGGTAGATACTTTAACAGTTTAAGAAGTATATAAAGGGGAACAACTTTATACCTGAAAATAGTGTCGATCTTAATTGTTGCATAATTTTATTTGGATAAATGATTGCAGTGTTATTGTTTAGTTAAAACTTAAACAACCTCCATTTTAAAACAATCGATAAACAGAACGTTTGTGTTATTCTGCCTGTTTGTACGTCGTTATAACTTTTATACAATATTACACATTTCATTTAATTGTTACTGATAATAATTACTTGTATTTGTAATTGTATGGTATGAAAAGTATACGTTATTGTAAGTTGACAAGGTAAATTAGTGTAAATTATTAAATGTGTATAAAACCAATAATTTTTATACGGAGATAAAATATTACAGCTTTATAAATTATAGTTATACACGTCACTATAGTCTATAGTACTACTACTAGTAACGTTGTTAGTTACTTAACTCTTATTGTTATAGTCTTAAGAGAAAATTCATTTTTGTTTAAAGCATAATAATATAAGGCTATTTGAGTTAGAGCGTTAAGTAGAGTGTAGTATTGCCTATAGTTGTGTCATTTCATAACTTCCATATGTTTGCCAAACTGTGACATTATTACTTGTTAAGTATACTGTATAGGGCTTCGACTTATTTCAAATTCAGGCTTTTATTGATTCTTGTTATAAACTTCTTACCAAAATATCAAGATGTATCAGTGTATCACTTGTAGTTGTTGGTTTTATTTCATTCCTTTACTAGTATTTATTGATATATTTGGATCCTTTGGTAATTGTGAGTTCACTTATGGATATGGACCTCAAGAGTATGCACTTGCTTTGATTAACATTACTTACACACATCCTCTGACTGGAAAAATTTATTACGATAAGAGTAAAATAGGAAAGTTTAACATAGGTAAGATAGAACCAGCAAGTGGGGTTGTGATACATGTGTCCAGTAATAACCACACTACTCATGATGGTTGTGAACGTTTTGATTCTGATATTATTCCTCGTGAACCATGGATCGCTCTTATTTCACATGGACGTTGTAAAGACACAATTAAGCTGCAACATGCTATGATGAGCAATGCAACAGCTGCAGTTATTTACAGCAGTGAGTACAACTCATTTGGACTCAAGTTACAGCATCAAGGTGAGCATTTGTATGCTTTTGGTTATCTCTTGTTTTAACTGTCTTTTATATGTAATAAATAACTTGATATTTAATCATTTCAATTCAACTTCTGAATGGTAACTGATATTATGATAATAATGGTTAATAACATTTATATTATCTACAGTTATTGAAGTGGATTTGAAAGAAAGATGTCACTGTCAAAGCTAACTTCATATATTTTTATTTGACAGTGATTTGTGATAATGAGGTAATGATGCAGAACCCCTGCTATAACTTTGACAGTTAAGTTTGTTTTATCTGTAGTGGTTTGGGAGTTTGGGAAATCATCTTGTGCTAAAAAGAACAGTTTTTTTTTAAAGTCCAAGAGAAAGATATGGGTGTGATAAGAAATAAAACCTTGAGGTCTTTAATTAAGGTTTAGATCTGGTGAAAAAGATCTAGGATATCACGTGTGCTTGTGTAAAACTAGTAGGACTTTACATAGAATGCTGGGTTTGAATATGGCTCGTTTATTAGAGGAATGGATACTGTCGTTTAGAAAAGAAACTAGAAAGACTACAATATTTGGTTTTACAGTTTTAAGTTTTGACTTAAATTTGATTTCATCAGAGCTAGAAGGTATTATAGACAACTTCATTTTAGGCTAGTGACATAAAATTCAATTAAAAAAATTGTAACATTACTATTAGCAGTAATTTGTACTTTTTTACTTATAGCATTCCTGTGACTTTAGGAAGATTACATTGTTTAAAAGTGAACTTTGGAGAGAGAAATAATTAATAGTTGGGTATTTATGCAAAATCATTAGTTTATTATACAAAAGTTGATAATAAAGCATATTTTACTGATTTGAACATTAGGTTACTGAGCTAAATGTACTGATTTGAGTTATGGTGTTACAAAATAATCACGTTAATTTTTCACTTTTATTAAAAATATACACCTCTTAATTCAAGGTAGAAACTTGTGATATTCTATTTATACAAACTATAAACAGATTAAAAATTTGCTGAACATTATCCAACAACTTTTTAATTAACCCTAATCACAGGTGTCATTACTTTTAAACAAAAATCAAGAAATTGATATTTTGATATGGTTTTACAGGTTGTTTTGAATAACACAAGTTTAAATTTAATCATTCTTGATTTATGGTTTGGTTCTTCCTTGTCTACTGTCCTTCTCATTATTATTTCCATTCTCAAATACAAATTTCAGAGATCTTAATCTGTTTTTGTATGACAACTTCTCAATTCCAGATGTCATCCTTGTAGCTATCTTCTGAATCCTTTCCAATTCTATGTCCTTCCTAAGATAGAGAGCTCAATACTAAACACAGTATTACAAATAAGGCCTTATCATTGACTTGTACAATGACATTATAACCTATTCAGACTTGTATTCAATATTTTTGTACATACAACCTAAAATCCTGTTTGCCCTACCACTAGCAATGACATATTGCATGGATGGCTTAAGAGACTGATCAACCGGAATGCTAAGGTTTTCTCCTTTCATTTAAGCCATAACATTGTTATATAATCAAAGGTATACTTATAATTCAAATTATAATAACCCGTATGAATTGCCTTGCATTTATTGTAATTAAAAGTCCTCTGCCATTTATTAGCCCAACTTGCCAAGTAATCCAAATCCTTTTGTAAAGCATTCTCCGCCTCGCAGCCAACAACACCAAAAACCTTATTATCATCAGCAAATTTAAATAATTTCTTTACCATTCCTTCATCTGTGTCATTGATGTAAATAACAAGGAACAAAGGTTATAATACTGAGCCCCGAAGTATCCCGCATGTGACATTAACCACTTTGATTGAATTCAGAAACACTACTCACCTTTTCACAGAACTGAGAGCTATTACCTTGTACCAAGAAATATTTTTGCCTTTGCACCAATCCTTGAATGAAGCTACCAGCTCTACACATATTAATGTATACCTTGCCAACAGAAGGGTGGCACATCCTCCATATGCAGTACTCCTCTTGAGCACATTGTGTCTACCAAAGGCTCATTCTTGATAAGGCAAAGAATAAAAAAAAGAAAAACTTCTATCACTTGTCAGACTTTTTCAGGAACATGCCCATACATTATTTATTACAGGTCTCTTCCTCAGAGTTTCTTCACTACAGATACAGAACAACACATTGTGTTCCGACTATGTATACACTCTATGCTACTACTTGTGACCATACCTCAGGCTCTATGTATGTGCATGCTGCCCGATTCATATGGATTTTTACTCCGGTTCTGTATTCTACATAAACTCTGCCAGATCACATTTTTCAGTAGTAGTGGTCCAGGTTGTTACCTTCCTGTTCTTGGTGAACCAGATTTCCTTTGATTGTCTGTTTCAGAGATAAGACTATCTGAATTTTGCATTTTTAGAGCTAAGTTAAGTTTTAAATGGGTACTTACCTTTGAAATATATTCCTACCCACCTCCACTTAACTAGGAGATTTGTGATTTTCCCCCATCATGATTGCAACTAAAATATCTAGATTATGGCAGGAAAGCAGAGATTATGTATATTATCCTGATGCATGCACAGTAAGTAACATGGGAGAGTGGAGAACTCTGGATGAGTTTGCACATGCTTTGCATCGTGTCAAGAACATTCGTGTCTGGTTCACAGCAGGAAAGTAACTTGACCAAAAAAGGCTTTAGTATTCTAGAGTTAAGTACCTATTTGGAAGTCATGTTAATTCTAAAAATAGTAAAAAAAAAATTAACGTCTGTTTTTATTTTTTGGTTTTTCTTTTTTTTTTACGATTTAATATACAATTTAAATTTTTGAATCTTCATATGTATGTTTTTTTTTTCAAACATCATGTCTTGAATTTATTGTACTTTTATTTTTCTTCACATAGTTGCTTAACCCAAGACTTAAATCTTTCAGATAAATTATTACCTGTAACTAATTTTAAAGTTAGTTACATGTTTATTTCCAATCGTTATTTTTTGGTAATTTTTTTTTCCCAGCAAAAGTTCGAGAACTCTCCGAAATACCTCTATCTTGCTCATTATCAGAAAACAATGATTGTTTGGTTTTTTCAAGTTATTGAAGATTGAATGATGTTTTTTTATAAAGTTTCCTTTGCCAAGATACATGACGTGATACGTCTCTAATTTCGTTCCTCTAATGAGACATCTATTTTTTTTTTCTTTGTCCTACCAACCATTTTGTGTTTATAGTTTTGAGTTTTTTTTTTTTTTTTAGCTGTAGCAATGCATTAATGAGCTTTGTCATTACAAAACATCGACTCAAAAATAATTGTGTTTCATGTTTCATCAAAGACTTTTATTTTATTTATTTATTTTTTGGTTTTTAACAAAAATTACAAATGAGGTACAATTAAATGTTTGAATTATACGTAACAAATGATAAACTTGTGTATACAGTCACTAATTTTACTTTTATTGTAAGCTGTTTTAATGTGATAATGCAACATTATGGAAACATTAGTATCTTTCAAGTCCAGTTATATTAAATATACGAAATAAATAGAGGTTGGAAGGCCAGTGATCCACATTGGTCATTTATCGTCCATACTAAAATTCACTACTTTGTGTCTGTAGACTTTGACCTATGAATAAATAAAATTGCATAATTATTATTTTATGGAAAATTGCAAGAAAGAGCTGATGTAAAGTTGTAAGAAAATCTCTGAGGTTTATTTTTTTTTTGATTGAATCATGAAAGAATTAGAAACCACTTTGTTCAATTTTGCAAAATTTCTTATGTCTTGGATAGGGTATTTGTAGTTAAGACTGTAACTTGAATGAAATATCAAATCAGTGCTGCTGCACCTCAGATCTTTTGATCTTGGGATTGGATTTTGACAATTGAAGAATCCTTCTCTTAAATTTATGTACCTGTAAATCTTTATACAAATCAAGAAACAAGTCCTACTTTTCGGATACATGAGTTCTCTCCATTGCAAAGGCACCTTAATGTATTTCATATTTTCATGGGTAAACAAACTTACCAATCCGAGCTTCTCAAAAAAATCAGATGAGCATAGGTGGCCGATACGTAGATTGGTCGTAGGCTTATTTGTTGAAGGATAAATTTTATTTCTGAATTGATAAGATTATTAACAGTAACTTGAGTATCATTCACAACATGTAATGTGCAGTAGAGTAGGGCAAATGAATTAATTAGTGTCTTGGAAACTATTTGATTAATGTCATGAAAATAGTCAACTAATCAAAACTAGGGTTTCCAGTTATTTACCGTTTTTGATTATTTCAACTATTCAAGTAAACCAAAATATGTCACTATATTTGTTTGTTTTTAAGCTCAAAGCTGCATAATATGGGGAGGGCCTTGGGTTTGATTCCCGTTGTCTCTAGATTGTCACTGAGCGAAGATGACTGGTTGACAGCATCCACTGTCAATTCAGACTACTAAAGTATTAAATAAAGTGTAAATTTACAGTTTTTTTTTTTACATTTTATGTTTCTAATTTATATTGGGTTCCCTAATGTTGTATGAGTAGACTCGAATCTAGTAAGTCTGAACTCCCCTCCTTGCTTTTATTTCAAAACTTCTTAAAGAAACAGCCAGGAATCATTAAACTATCATATATTATCAAAAACAAACATTTGATGCCAGTGTTTTTATTTTATTGGGCTATTAATTTCCATAATAGTTATTTTGAGGTTTCCTGAAATTAACTCAGCAGTCCAGTTAAAGACTCGGCCAATAACTGATTATATCTAAGCTAATACAATAGTATGAACATCAATTAAATGTTGCCACAGTAAATTCACATACCTTGGCTTTTTCTAGACACTAACAATATGTTTATACTTTCTAGATTTGTTTTCATCAATTTTAGTATTAGTTAGGAAATCTGCAGCTTTTATAACGTGGTCTGGTTACAGAATCGATTTTTCATAGCTTAAAAGCTAGAATTTTGTTCTTGTTTGCTAACACAATAATACAGTGTTAATTGAATAGACTTCCAGTTTTATTCTTATTTATTCCCTAATGGTTTTAAACTTTGTAAGATAAAGTTATGACTATCAAAAGTCTTATTTTACAAAATAAATTGATGTTATTTTCATTTTTATGTTGTTGGACTTTAAATTTAAGCTACTTGAAGAATATAAAAAAAATTCTAGGTTTTTACTTTGGCTAAGTATTTGTTTGCTTAATAAATAACATTTATGATTATTCAATTCCCTTGGTTGGTTATAAAGAATTGGAGTAACTTTGTAGTTATAGATACAATACTTAAGGCCCCCAACATCGTCGTAAACCAGGAAGATTAATAGCAAATTGAAATATCGTCGTGGTTGAAGAAGTTTGGAAGTGGCCACATCCGTATTTATTTTCATACTTTTTTTTTTTTGCTTATAGGGGTTGTAGGGTGCATAAAGCTATCATTTAACTAATTAGAAAATATCACTAATCTTGCAGCTCTAATGTGCACTTCCAAAAAGTACTTCCTCACTGAATGTGGCCAGATGTGTTATCTTGGCTATGTCATTGTAGCCAACCTTGGTCACATCCAAACAACTTTATATTTAGAATAAAGTATCTATTGCAGTGGTGGGTTAACATAGGGGCAAAAGGGGCACTTGCCCCAGGGCCTCCAGGTGTAAGGGGCCCCAAGGCTTCATAAATCAATTTTATTCAAACTTGAATATTTTGGAAGGGCCCCACCTATTAATAGTCCACCCCTGAGATGTTGACATAGAACCCTGTAAATTTGTTATTGAATATTTGAATATAGAACAGATACGTGCAACAAAGAGTTGTAAACTCAGATGGACTTCAAGAAAGCCTTAGACAGCATGACATCTATATATATATATATATATTTATCTTTGAGTTAACAACATGAGGAATAGCATGTTGGGGATGCGTGTTAATTGTATATTAGGTGTAAAAGTTGCACGTTGTATTTATCGTGGTTGCTTGGCTTTAGTCCACCTAATTCAGTGATCATGTTCTGTTCTTCCGTAACATTTTACCAATTGAATCTAGTAGCAATGATCTTTTACTTGACCGTAGAATCTTCTTGTGATCGATCCAATATATATTTATCGTTGCACCTTGGGCTCTAGGTTAGAGTTCGTAAGTTGAAGTGACCCTGATGGGAAGAGTTAATTTTTGTCACCGTACTTGTTCTTATGTTTTTAATTCAATTATGTACATCCTCGCATTACCTATTTTGTTTAGATTGTGCATTAAATAAGAATCTTATATCACTAAGAATGAATCCACTTGTATATTACTACCGAAGAAGTTACTTATGCACTGGTAAAAGAGTATTGTACATGACTCAATGGATTGTTTTATTTGCTGTATAAATTTAAGGATGTATACAAATAAATAGTTTGTGGTTGAAGAATAATACACTTTAACAATTCCTTTGTAGATGGACCTTCTATGAAACCTAGTGAAATGGGATACATTAGACATCTCCTTCATGAAATGCTGTACATACCTGGTATGTAACAAAAAAACAACAACAATGGTGACCTTTTTTTTTTGAGAATATAAGTGCTTTAACTTTATTACTTATTCTTTCTGCTACCCCCTTTCTCTGTCAATTGAACAAGTGTATAGTAGCGATGTTATGAAAATGTTATTTAATTTGGTTATTCTTATTAGGGTATTATATTTTTACTACTTATTGTATAGTTTTGTTATTCATTTCATATTTTTTTATGTCTTCATAAATATCGTTTTTTTTTATATACAGTTACTATTTATGCCGTCCCTGTAGTGGTAAATTATCCCAGCTGTTCAACTACTCTAAAGTTACACTATCAGAACCATTTAATAGATTTTCTTTGGTCACTAGACATTGTTAGAGTGGATTGTATAAAGTTTTACATAAATTTGTCATGTTTTTCAAGGAATGGGGAATTAGTAATTGTGCATGAAGCAAACAACCAGTTTTGTATTTTTTTTTTCCCCTTCCATTTATATAAACCTTAACCCGAGTGTTATTACAAGTTACTTTCTTCTCCTCCTTTCTTATCTTTTCCCAATTGTATTTACATAAGTCTTATCATGAGAGTTGTTACATGATACTTCTCTCCCACCACTTTCTTATCTTTTCCCATTTATATTTGTGTAAATCTCAACATGAGAGTTGGTTACATGATACTTCTCTCCCACCACTTTCTTATCTTTTCCCATTTATATTTGTGTAAATCTTAACATGAGAGTTAGTACATGTTAGTTATCTTTTCCCAGTTATATTTATATGAATGTTATCCTGGTAGTTATTACATGTTTTATTTCAAGAATAATGCTCTCTCTTGTTAACAACTTTAGACCAATCAGAGAGTGAACTATCATACTTATCTGACATCCGTATGCTACATCTACAGCTTTACCTGGTCACATGTTTTTCTTTGCCATTTGTAGGATTAGATGAGGGTTCTGGGTTGAAGTCTCTATCGAGGCAGATTTCACTTTAGTTTAACTTATAAAATTTTTCTGTAACCAAGGCTTGAATTTTGAACCCTTCAACTCGGATATTACTATTCTGAGACTAATGCTCTATCAAAGTTTCAAGTCTGGATCAGACAACTCCACCTCTAGAAATTTGTGTCGCACGTTCTTGTGAAACTAAGATGATTCTAACTGTTTTTTTTTTTCAGTATGCCACATGTATCCAGTAAATCCAATTCTGGCATGTGTCACCTGAACACTTTTTGTCATGAGATATGTGTGGTTGTAATTATTGTTTCCAAAGCTTGGTTAGTTAGTTGGTTTGGTGTTGAAGATGCCCCATCACACCATGTCTGTATTGCCTGGTGTATTGTCATAGGGTGTGAAGTGTCTGGCAGTGAATGTAAATTTGATTTGTCTGGTTCTGCCTCCACTACTTATAGTAGTTATAGTTATAGTATCACATTTGAAATTAACGTTCTAGTAGTAAAATGTAGTCCTAAGAATTGGGAAGGAGATGCTACTGCATTAGATTTTAGAAGTGGCATGTGGATGTCAGGTGAGTATATAACTACTTTAATAATTGGCTTAGAGATTTTAAGATTGAAAGAGGGTTCATCCGTATGCCTGTATTAAATCCTAGTATACAATTTTTATTATAAAGCTCCAAGTAGTAGATAAGATTAAGTTACTATTTTTTTTTGGATGTGTTAAGAATTTTAGGCCTTTCCTTCTTTCCATTCCACTTTATCCTCCTCCTTATCATCCAATGGAAATTGTGGCATCAGCAGTAGTACTTCAGATTGGCCATCAGGGTGTTAGTGGTTTATGGTGGAGTAAGTTACAAGAGTAACATGTGACTGAAATGCAATTATTCATCATTATTAAAGACTTGATTTATTTCTATTTCAGTATTGTTTTTTTTTTTTATAAATTTACCAAAAATGTACTATAAGTATCTAATTGTTACTCGCTTTTAAATGTAGGTTAATAGTTGAAACCAGGATGAAATATTTATAAGTAACAAGAAAACGACACACTCGACATGTCAGAATGCCCATTATAATGACTTGGTGTAGCTCCAAAATCCAGTACATTTATTACAAGAGAAGTTAATTCTTTTTTTTTTTTTCTTTACTCAATCATGTAAAAATATAATATCTACAAAAATACTAAGGGGGATTTTGAGCAAGATGTTGCATGTGGCCCGTGTTTGAACTGAGCAAACAACATAAGTTGAAGCATGTCTTTGTTCAAGACAGCAATGTCATTTTACACTACCCTCTAATACCAAATATTACATCCAAGTGATACAGTATACATCAAACTTGATGGGGAAGATGATAATAAAGTTGTCTTCAAACTTTACAGCGTAGATCTTTCAGTCAAGTTAATATACGAGAAAATTTTTTTCCGGAAAGACAGTAACATAATTTCACGAAATGAGGTTGGAAAATTCATTGATAAAATTACCATTAATGAAAGCACACATTGTCTCTTACACGCCCTTCTCGCTTGAGAATGCATTTTAAGGTGTTTCTTAGCTGTCATTACTTCGAATGAAACTGTATTATCTTACGTACAGTTTTCTGTAGTGGAGATTGAAATTATCAGCTCTGGTATATAAATCAGTTGCATTGATTGGTTATTTAAAACCTACTATTTTTTTTCAGGTAAAGCTCTCATTCTGTTTTAAAATTCGTAGGTGGATTCCTTAAATATTTCTTCACAAATTTTGATTTTTTCCCCATTAATTTCTGTGTACATTCGCGTATTATATGTATTTATAGATAGTAATTTCTGTCATCGTTCTTCAATTTCAAAAGCCTACGCCTTTGTCTTCAGTCAATTTTGCATTTTGTAATATAGCTACGGTTTGGCGTTAATTACTTTTTCTTCGTGCTGGTTGGCTGACGATAAATTAGTAGCCAGACTCTTCTGTCATTAACATCTGTTTTTCTTAAGCGTGTGATTAACGGAAGTAAACATGCGCAGTGCGTTTACGTTGATATAGGGGTTGTTTTTATCCTCGTAGGAGGGTTAAGAGTTATAAAAGGGGATAACAATAGTATTTCGAGTTCATATTCATCGTTGAACTTGTAAAAATGGTTTATCCCGGAGATCTGACATCAGCTATTGGAAAACTAAGAACGAGTAAGTGTATTATTTGCAGTTACGTCTGAAAGTATAAGGAAAAACAAAATTATTGCTAACCAAACAAAGCTATGTATTGCTGGCTACTGAACTTGATAAAAGGAACCAAACAAGATAGGGATAGAAGTGGACATATCATTTGATCAGTTAATGATCACATAGCAGAATAAGGTGTCTCGACTTTACATGGAGAATAAAATCCCAACATTACTGACTTCCCCACTTTATCGAAAGCTTGGTGTTTGAATAGAATATCAGCTTTTATTCATTGTCCCTTACCTTTAGTTAATTTTAGAATACTACTTTTTATGACCATTTTACAATAGAGTAACATTTTACGATTGGAAATTCTGGTTCTATTTGTTTTGCCAGTGAGTAAGCCAGTAATGTAGGGATTTGATTCTCCATGTAAAGTCCAGACAACTTGGTCTGCTATGTGGTCAGTAGCCGATCAAGTGATATGTCCACCTGTATCCCTATCTTCAGTAGCCAGCCCAACATAACTTTTTTTTAATTCAGTGATACATTTTTTTCCTAATATTTGTTTGTGTACTTTTTTATAAGATGGCGAGCGTGGGTTACTAGGTTATATAATATATTCTAAAGCTTTATAAACATTGTATATAATAATAATAATAATAATAATCATAAAAAAGGTAGTCAAAGATCGTGAAAACTGTTTTTCTCTGTCAAATGATGATAACATTATAGTTACTGATAGAACTAGGTAGACGCTAGGCTTGTTGAAGAAAGATGATGATGAACGAAAATAAGAAACCTCGGTTTTGGCTATTCGCCGGTTTTCAACTTTGGGTGGGACGCTCTGGATAGCTGAAAAGCGGCATATACACTGGAGATAGACCGACTATGCCAGGTAGCTCCTCATATCTAGCTTCTAATGGTCTGTAGAGAAGGAAATCCAGATGACCTTTGTATTCCTTTAATACGGACGTCCGTGCTATCTCTACCTGGCGTATTTACGTATTTTATTTGTTGTAAGAGTAAAAAGAATTAAAAGTGAATGATACCCATTGGTAATAAACAGTTTAGAAACAAGTCAGTAATGTAGACCCATTGGTAATGGAAAGTTTAAAAACAAGTCATTAATGTAGATCCATTGGCAATCGAAAGTTTAAAAACAAGTCAGTAACGTAGATCCATTGGTAATGGAAAGTTTTAAAACAAGTCAGTAACGTAGATCCATTGGTAATGGAAGTTTAAAACAAGTCAGTAACGTAGATCCATTGGTAATGGAAAGTTTAAAAACAAGTCAGTAATGCAGACCCATTGGCAATCGAAAGTTTAAAAACAAATCAGTAATGTAGATCCATTGGTAATGGAAAGTTTAAAAACAAGTCAGTAACGTAGATCCATTGGTAATGGAAAGTTTAAAAACAAGTCAGTAATGTAGACCCATTGGCAATGGAAAGTTTAAAAACAAGTCAGTAATGTAGACCCATTGGCAATGGAAAGTTTAAAAACAAGTCAGTAATGTAGACCCACTGGTAATAAACAGTCTAAAAACAAGTCAGTAATGTAGACCCATTGGTAATAAACAGTTTAAAAACAAGTCAGTAATTTGTGGATTAACACTATTTTATTATGTGCTATACGTGTTTTCACTATCAGTGGATAAACTGTGATGACGGACAGTTGAAGTTCTGATACGTTGGTGAGAATTTCCGGTAATCACGTGCTCCCAGAAGTAAACCCAATGTTATGGTAACCTTACCATAACTACTTTTATTATTAGGTTCATGTCTATGGCACTTTGACATTTTCAGTTGCGCGTGTTGTACGAAGATTGAAACATAACGAGGAATGGAAAATAAACACAACCTAAAACGATCAATATTACGTCCTTTTAGTTAGATGTCGCGTAACAGTCAG